CACGGCTTGGTGGATATACACTTCAGAAATTACGAGGATGTGCGAAAATGGATCGACGAATGGATTGCATCAAAAGACCAATCGTTCTATCGTCGCGGAATCTACGCGTTGCCCGAAAGATGGGAAAAATGTATAGCTAGCGAGGGAAAATATTTCGATTAATGTATTTTTTGCTTTTGATGTCGAAATAAATGAGTTTTTTAAACAAAAAATCGCAGGAACTAAGTTTACAACCTAATAATATGATGGGAAAATGTCATTATCTGCTGTTTTATTGCAGTAATTTTCTATACAGTAGAAAATTAATTTCGAATTATCGTGCCGGCCTCTCTTACATTATTTATACGCTAAACGGTTTCGTCTATATTTTGCAGTTTAAAAGGCGAACAAACTCTAAGATTTTTCTTCCTTAAACTTTAAGTGGGTAATACAAAGCACTTTTTATCAAGTAAGGAATTGGCGTAGCGTCTAAGGCGACGGACAATTATCCAAAAGATGTCTTGGGTTCAAGTTCGAATCTCACCAGAGAAAATCTTAAAAATTATGAAAAAATAATATAAAAAAACTTTTTTTTTCATTACATTTTACGAGTATTTATGAGAAAGCGCTTATTTTATGAGTAATTATGAAAAATTATGAGAGAATTTTCTACCACAAATTTAATTGAAGAACCTACGAAACGACAGGATCTGCACGCAATCTGCTATCAGAGTCTGTCGGTAGGCTCTGCGCGCAATCTGCCGTCAGAGTCTGTCGTCAGAGTCTGTTCGTAGACCCTGTCAACAGTCTGACGGCAGAATGAGGACGCAGATGTCTAGGGATCTGTCGACAGATCCTGCTCGAATTCGACAAATCCTGTCGCCAGTCTGACGTCAGTCTGCGCGCCGATTGCTTACTGGGTACATATATTGGGAGTGTGCATTAATTTTGATTAATTTTTTTGTAAAAATACGGCTTTATTGTGAAAAAATGGCCACAAATTGACCATTCAAAATATCGTCCATCGCTAGCCACTACTTTTTCCCATCTTTCTGGTAATAGGTGGATTCCACGTCGAAAGAACGATACATCTTTTGAGACTATCCACGAATTAACCCATTTTTTGGTATCCTCATAAGAATAGAAGCGCTGCTCAAACAGGCCATGAGTCATCGATTGAAATAGGTGGTAATCGGAAGGAGCAATATCTGGAGAATACGGCGGGTGTGATAGGACATCCCAGTTAAGCGCTTTTAACGTTTCCTTGACCGGTTTCGCAACATGTGGCCGAGCGTTGTTGTGCTGGAAAATCACTTTGTCGTGTCTTTTCGCGTAAGCTGGCCGTTTTTGCTTCAATACTCGGCTCAATTGCATCAATTGTTGTTGGTAGCGTTCCCCAATGATAGTTTCGTTGGGTTGGAGCAGCTCATAATATACCCAGCTGATCCCACCAAATACAGAGCATGAGCTTGGCGCCATGAATATTCGACTTTGCCGTCGATGTTGATGGTTTGCCTGGCCTGCACCATGATTTTTTGCGCTTCGGATTATCGTAGCGTATCCATTTTTCATCACCCGTCACGATACGATGCAAAACACTTTTTCTTCTGTGTCTTTGAAGCAACAATTCACAGGTCATTTTGCGTCTTTCGACGTCCCTCGATTTCAATTCGTATGGCACCCAATTTCCTTGCTTTTGAATCTTTCCAATAGCCTTCAAACGTCTGGAAATCGTTGATCGATCAACATTTAATGATTCTGCAAGTTCTTCTTGCGTTTGACTCGGGTCTTGATCGAGTAAAGCTTCCACTTCCTCATCTTTAAACTTTTTCGGCTGGCCTGGACGTTCCTTGTCTTCCGTGTCAAAATCACCTTTTTTATAGCGTTGAAACCAATACTCACGTTTTGAAATCGATGGAATATAATCACCAGAAGTTTCCGACAACATTCGTTGACTTTCAGCACTTTTCTTCAAATGAAAGCAGAAAAGCAAAGCTTCTCGCAAACTGCGTTTTGTTGGCACAAAATTCGACATATTCAATGCTCAAAAAAACAATGTTGTTTACACTTCTGTAAAATGACACATCCGGGGTGCTTACGATAATGAGAGTAGAGCGTGTGAGATCTGGATCCGAGAGAATAGTATAATCTCCTATCTATAACTGTAATATTCTATGGTCTGCTATTGCAGTCTCATGAACACAGGAACAGATTAGGAGTTCGTCTCACGAACAACAAAGGATACTCTGGTAGCACATATTGGTTTTATAAACGTATATAACGTTTTATTATCGTTTGTAAAATATATCAAAAACGTTTCTTAAACGACACGTGTTACTTGGGTAATGTATCATACTTAAAGTGTATTAATATTTATCTTAAATTTATACTTAGATGTGAGTTTTTAAACTGAATCAAGATTATATATAATATGTCACGTATTTCATACGGTTCAATTAAAATAAATTAATCAATCTTTGCAATCTTTGATAATTGCAATTTGATCATTTGACGTGAGTCAAATTGAAGTGAAGTTTCAAGTAATAACTATTAATACAGGTTCAGTCCTTGTTTAAGAAGAGTTTGAAAATCTCAAATAATTAATAAACTGAAATAATATGTTACATAATTCTTTAAATAAAGAAGATAAAATATTAATACACTTTAAGTATGATACATTATCCTTTGTTGTTCGTGAGACGAACTCCTGGGGCCCGATGCTTGACGTTGTACGAATGAGATACGCATGCGAAAATCTACAATATACATAACGTGAACTACACATTTTCGCATGCGTATCTCATTCGCATACCATCAAGAATCGAGCCCCTAATCTGCTTCTTCTGTGTTCATGAGATTGCAAGAGCAAGAGCAGACCATAGAATATTACAGTTATAGATGGGAGATTATACTATTCTCTAGGATCCAGATCTCACTCGCTCTACTCTCCTTATCGTAAGCACCCATACTGAAAACTAAAGCCACATGATGGTGCTTTGACACGAAGGTAGCAACAATATTGTCCGATGCGATATAGTACTAGTTACGCCATCTCTTGAAAATCCTTTAAAATTAATGCACATTCCCAATATTACAGAAATTGAGGAGAAGGATGAGATAATAAGGAAAGATAAGGATGCAAGAAAGTAATAATTGAAAATATATACAAATATTTTTTTACGCACATATTATATTAACGAAAAATAAATACAGTAAAATATTATGAGTATAATATACGTATTACTGTTATGTATGTATATAAATATACATATATATGTATATACAGGGTGTCTCAAAATTGTAACACACCAACTCCATAGGGACGTAGAGCTAAGCGTGTAGATCAGAAAAGTCCTCTTCCATTTAGCGATAACGCGTCTAGTTGTTAGTCTTTGTTAGAAATAACTGCGTAAAGTTTGGCGTTTGTCACGCCCATTGCAGCCTATAGACGCTCCGTGGCGAGCTGTGTGCGTCGATAGCGTCAAAGCTGAGCGGTAATACGGTGCGTTCATCGTCGCCTCGCCACGCACCGACAGCGTCAAGACGCTATCGCGGCGGTCAGCGCGACCCGCTTTACCGCTTAGCCTCAACGCACACAGTTTGCCGCGGAGCGTCTATAGGCCACGATGGGTGTGACAAACGCCAAACTTTACGCGGTTATTACTAACAAACTAGACGCGTTATCGCTAAATGAAAGAGAACTTTTCTGATCCTCTCACTTAGCTGTACGCCCCTATGGAGTTGGTGTGTAACAATTACGAGACACTCTGTATATACAGGATATTTCACTTTAAAGGATATGGTCGATTATCTCGTGAATCGATGATTTTATTGAAAAATTTTTTGGCTATCTGAATATATTTTTCACATAAAAATTAACGGAAAACTTGAGGAATGTCATATATTATGTGCATTTAACAAAGCTTTTGCTAGTCAACTAGAAGTAGCAACTGTTGCATTATAATTTCTATATCATTGTCGTTATTATTCTCTAACAAGACATCCCAAGTATTTACATCATCTAAATCACATTCTGTTTCTGCATCGTCTATACCTGAGATTAAAATTTAATATAAAGAATATGAGAATCTCTTGGACATTATTATGTTATATACACTATATATAAATTTTTTAGAATTTTATTTAATCTATGTCATACCTAATGTATAAACCCAACCACGTTTTTGTCTAACTTCCTCAGAACAAACTATACGTATAGTTTTACATATATCTCCATAATTTTCTATAAACCACTGAATATCCGTTTTTCTTCTAACATCGCTTACTATCCACACTGATTTATCTCTTACTAGAATATATGTATATGATAATACTTTTATATAAGTTCATATCTTAAAAGTATTTTATTTTATATATTTTTTTAGATATTTATATATTTTGATTAATATCCTACAAGACATACCATCATACATATCGATAGCAGCACGACAAAAATAACCATTGTCTTTTGCTCTCATATTTTCTCCCCATTCACACATTTTAATACGATATTCTTCCTTGTATGCTCCATTACCTAATAATTGATCCAGATCAAGATTTAGTGACTTTGCCCAATGAGTTTTTATAGGTCCTGATAATCGTATAATCGTACTTTTTTGTAGACCAAGCCTGAAATTCAAAAAAGTATTTTTAGATTAAAAATATATAAAAAAATATGTATCATTCAAAAAATAATTGATGTTTATTAAATTTATTAAAATGAAGAGAGAGAGAGAGAGAGAGAGAGAGAGAGGGAGAAAGAGAGAGAAGTATGTTCTTCAAATATTTTATTCTGTATGTTTAAATTAAATATTATACGTAACTGCCTTTTAAATATAGTTCAAATATTGCTATATAATCCTTATAAGAATTATTCAATATGTTCACATAGAGGATATATATATAAATATTGGTAATTATTCAGTTTAGGCCCCTCACCTCCGATTTCAATGAAAGTAGGTTTAATCGATGCGTTTTTGTACGAGAAACAACTTTTTATCTGACAAAATCGTCCCAGATAACTAAGCGTGATTTAGCATATCAAGCAAATGAATGCACTGCATGTTTTGCTGAATAGTTGATATTTGGTTGCCATCATCGTAAGCGATGTGCTACCAAATTCAGCAACATGAGTGGTAATACATGTAATCAGTTAATGAAAATTTAAGAGCAAATGATCAGCAACAATAGTATGGAAGGTTGCAAACAACATGATGGTAACATGACAAGAACTGATGATTTGTCTTTGTGTCAATAATATTTTGATGGCAACTTGACAACAATAACAGAAATGGAACTTTTTTCATCGATTTGTTTTGTATTTGCTTTCAATCGTTGAAGTTTCTAAATTATATGTTTTTGCCAACAAAGTGTGAACGACAAGTAATTTTCATATATTTACAACAATTTGTCAATAACAAACACACTGTGCACAAATTTAAAAAATAATTTTTTATTTGGCAATCATATGTTATATGAGTTTAATAATGCTAATGTTTCAATAATGTTTTATTACTCATAAATACTACAAGTATATTTCAAATTCGCGCACTGCATATTGCAAATGTATATTAACATAGAGCATGTGCATGTGGCTACGGAACATATATATATGTCGCTGTTTGTCGATGTGACAGTTTCCTTAATAATAATCAACTTTGCCAATTAATATTTCGTTTCGTAGTTGACAGCAATGATTTCTCCAAATAGAAAAGTTGTTTGCCTTTAAAAAACGCGTCGATTGAGTATTTTTTCGTTAAATTCGGAGATGAGGAGTGTAAACTGTATAATTACCCGAAGCATATACACGTCGCTGTTTTTTGTCAGTATGACAGTTTTCCTAACCTTAATAGTGGTCAACTTTGTCAGCTAATATCTCGCTTCGCAGTAGAGAGCGACGATTTTGTCAGATTAAAAAGTTGTTTCTCGTGCAAAAACACATCGATTGAATCTACTTTCATCGTAATCAGAGGTGAGGCCTAAACTGAATAATTACCATATTATTTTTATACCTTTTATGTAAAATTTCAGTAATGTAATCCTTTCCAGATTTTCTTTTACCACTAAATAACAAAATTCTTTTCGGTTTTGTTGAAGAGTTTCCGATTACTGTTGAAGGAAGCATCACTGGTTATCTTTTGAAAAGTGCTGACAGTACTGAGTTTTTTACGTTTTGAAATTTGGTCTGTTCTTTTTAGCTGCACTGCTGAACTGGTACAATAAATTAAGCTGATATTTCACGTGTCGTACGACAAACTTTTTGGATACGTTCATTGGTTGACAAACAGAGATCCTAGAAATACTTTATTCGCCAACCAATAAACGTATCCGAGAAGCTTGTCGTACGACACGTGAAATAGCATCCTTAGAGTGAGAAAACATATATTTTTCTCACTTTAACTTAAAAGAATAGAACAATTGTTTCTCTTTCTCTCTCTCTTCTTGTTTGCACGGTAGCGATCATGAATCTTTTACGTGAACTTCATTTTCATTTTTCACTTTTCACTGTAAGTTATTTCACATGAAAAGTAAACAATGAAAATATGGAAAGCAATATTTATGTAATATAAATTATTAAAATTAAAATGTAATTACAGTATACACAATGTAATATATAACACATTAATAAGCATTATACAACTTAAATTTATAGTTATAATATGATATAATAATACAATATGAGTAAATTTAATAAATGAGACGAACGTTAACCGTGAAAGGTGAATTCTCAAAACGTGAAATATTTCACTTTCAGTTTGTTCGTATATGTTCTTCTTTATATGTAAATTGTGTAAGTTTCCATGAAAATTTTTAAGCATCAAGCGATTTGTATATACTTGACCGGAAAAAAACTCCGGTTGAAAAACTATTGTTTTAAATTGTTTGTATTTTGTATGAAAAGTTTTGAAGTGCAATTGAAAAGATTTGTGAGTCATTCTATTACTTGTAATTAATTGTTTTTTTTTGGACAATGTATTTAGTCGGAAATAATGACCGGAGGTAAATAAAACAAAGGTTCGGTATGGTATCGTTTGTATTTCGTATAAAGAGTTATGAATTATCAC